TAGTGATGTTGCTAACCACGACAATGATATATGTTTTTAGCTATGTCAAATGTCTAGTTGTGTCTATTATTTTTTGTGCATATCTTTTCATAACCATCAGTTCAGAATACATGGAAATGTAGTACAGAGCGTACGAAACGAAAAAAGAAGCAGTTAAAATTTGTTATATCCTATATTCGTATAGAAACTTTCTTTAACAACATAGATTTGGATCGATTATTGCCATTTTCCCTAGTAACGCACAAGAAACACATTCACAACACAACTAATAAAACAATAACACAATTTTGTTGTTCGTACAATAAAAAGAAAAGAATTCTTCTATTGTCATTTCGTAGTTTTCATACATTCTGGATCATTGCAATTTCGTGACCACTCTTCATTGAGTATTTTTTTAATTTGATTTTTTTTTCACTTTTTTTTTACACGGATTCCGCGAAAACGATGTCTTCCATTGTCAACAGTGTTTTTATGAATGTTATTGATAGACGTCTTCCGAAAGTAAGAAAAGCAGAGGAAGTACGGCGAAGAATTGATTGAGTTTTCTAAACTTTTTGTTCTGACAAGAAAAGCCTCGGAATATGCCTATATTCTACAGAAGAAAATCAAGCTTTTCCAATAGTAGGGAGCCGGACAGTTTTCTACTGGAACGGTCCTGAGTCACAATGCTATGGAAGATGAATACAATAGCAATTGGTAGAATGAGATTTCGATGTAGTTTTTTCTAGAGTAAATGAGCTGATTATGCAGTCAATGACTCGTTCTTTTGATCGCTCATTTGTTGACGTGAGCGTACGCGCTTTGCTAAGAGTATGGGTCGATGTGGGCTGAGACATATTACTCACCTACTTACGCCCATTCTCCCACATTTTCACATCTATTCGTCCTCAAAACAGTAATTCGAGAGAATTATACGTATGTAAGCATTGATACAGTTACCCTTTCTATCGGTTCTCGCAAGGTTGACCAATAAATGTCTAACGATATCTTGTTTTACCTCTCAGTAACACTGACAAAATAGACCACTTATTTGCATATTAAATTCTGAGAAATATCAGTAACCTTTTCAAAATACCAATTTAAAAATTCCACTAGTTCGGTCTTGTTGACTCTTTTATGTGAGCGTGTTGATATTACCTTTTTGAACAATAATACTGTTAAAATTCAATCATTTTATCGTAATCCTCCAGTGATAATATTGACCATGTTTCTAATTTAAAAGCTCACATAGGGGAGCAAAGCATTATGACACTGAAATCAGCTCGTCAAGCTGTGAAAGCCAGGATATCCCTGTTTCTAAGCCGTAATTACTACTTGTGAATCTTCTCTCGCTAGTGTCAATGTCACTATTTTTCATCACATTGTCCAACACATCATTTTCTTAGGCTCTTATGTGGGTGTCACCAGATCAATCACTCAACCAACATGAAAAGTAATTCCTACATAATCTTCTTCAGATAATACGTTGCCTAATAAGAACATATATCTTTTAAGTTTCCGTTAATAACCATACTTGAACAACAAAAGGGAAAAATATCTCAATGAAACATTTTCTTTAGTGCAAAACTGTATAGTTCTTCAACATCAGAAATACTTTTAGTCTCTTGCTCTCTCACTCATTCTGCGTCACACGAACTTTAACATTGAGGCAGTGATACTGCTCATTTTTCAGTAAAGTATTTGGCCTGTTCAATTGTTCTGCCAGTTACTAAAATGCACTAACCAAATAAAACCGATTGTCACTATTTGGTTAGAGATAATCGTTGTAATTGATAACACTCATCATATTCGGATGAGAGATAAATGTTTAAAAAGACCATTTTCTTTTCGTCGTAAGTGGAATCGAACATTCTTATTCAAGACAAATATCATGCGGTACCTAGAAGTCACCGCATGAAAACCAAAATCAAACTCGTAGAATGAAACTTTTCTACTATGTCCAAGCCTATTGTGTTTTGTAATCAAATATGTTTTTATCGACGAGTCCAAATTCTTGGTACTTCCAAGCGACTTTTGATGAAAAAATGTGATCTTATTAAAAGTCTCATCAGTTGGCCAGCTAGTCTTTTACGAGTAAAATGCGATTTTGTCCATAATGATTCATGAAGAGATACTATTCTAAGATCATGGACAATTCTCATGATGGTGATCTATTGACTTATATTCTTCGATCAGCTTGAGTTCTTTGTGGTAACCAAAACATAAACTTGTGGCATCATGGAGCTTTGTGACTCATATTTGACTATTGTCAGCCTAACGCAACCAATTGAGCTAGAATTTGATCTAACAAGTTGTATCTGTAACGGCTGCTCAATTGTTACATTAAACTTGTAGCAACTTCAAACGAGGAGATTTTCTAGGTATCCGTGGCTTCCTATAATACTGTAATAGTTACAGGAAATTAACTCTTCTCTTTTGTGATGGTAGAGGATAGAAAAAAAAAGTTAGATATCCCTAGTTTCTGTACAACTTCTTTTCACTGAGTTATGAATTGCACAAGATTCATATTTGACTTAAAGTGGTATGCACAATCAAGCAATCATACGTCGCAAAATGTCTTATTTTGTAAAGAAAACGCTGACACATCGTTTGACCACACTACCATGTATCAGACGAGACTCCAGAGAGTTTCGAGTAGGATTTTCAACTCAAATTTTATTCAAAAACTTTCTATCGTTACAGACAAATTTCCAAGACGATTCAAGGTTCGTGAGATAAGACGTTTCTGTTAGAGAGCAGCCACTCTATATCGAGAAAAAAGTTGACTGATTTCCATATCTTCAATATATAACATCATAATTTTTCTCTAGGAAATAGAAAAAAAGACTGTTGGAAATATAACCTCAGCACCTACGTTCAACTGCGATGAAATGAAAACACGTTCATCTCTACCAGATCAGCCTGGTGCTAGAAAGGTCATTCGACAACAGCATTTAGAACCTCATGTAGAGGTTGGGTTTTATCGAAGAAGGCGAACGTTGACAAATGATAAACTTTCTCAATTGCCTGAAGTAGGTTTGACTTCATTATGAGCATTGCCTTTTCAATCTATGTATTCTTTCTCTCTGTTCATGCAGAAGTCCACATTCGTTACGTCTTTTAATGCGCTTGACAAAACTGAAGCGTCATCTAGCTCATTAAGATCGTCTTTTTCTTCTTCTCTGAAAAAAATTACACAAACACAAGAATTTCAATGTGAAAGATCTAAATATGATCGGAATCAATCGACTTTAAATTCAAAAACAAACAAAACCAAAGATGATCACAAAGAAATAGATAAACCATCACATCTCCGTCACAAACAACGTCCTCCGTGTTCAATTTCCCGTTTTACTGGATTGCTGTTGACTCTTATATTGATTCTAGCTGGTCTCACTGCTCTACTCATGGGTCTTCTCATAAAAAAAGAAACTACGGACATAGCAACCTCAACAATAATAGTGACGACAACCGTAACAAGTAAGTTACTGTTTCTTTATGCATGACAAGTTCATTTGTTTTGCTTCTATAGCGACGAGCAGCAGCACGAGTACTTCGACAAGAGAATGTGTCCATTAATCATGACCAAAATGTCATTGAACTCATGTTTATGATATAGCAAATAGGTAAACGTGATTAATGAAACTACCCGTAAGCTTTTTTTCTTGCATCAAGATTTCTCTCTTGATATGTTCTCGATTCATAGCATCAACATCGACTACCAGTACAGAAACAACATGTGAGTTATTCATTTTTCAAATCATATAAGCAGAAAAATGTTTGCTCCTATTCTTTTTCAGCAACGACCAGTGTCACCACAAGTAGGTAGAAGGAAAAAGTTACTGTGGAATCTCTCAATATATCTGAATGTATTTCACTGACAAAAATAAATACAATAGAGAATAGGAAAGATTTTTTTCTAGAAAATAGAAATAAGTTAAAGTTTATAATTAATCTGTTAACAATATTGTTGAGTCGGTCTTCTGTATCTTGAGAATCTATTTCGCAATTGATAGTATACTTTTACATTACTTGATGTTTCTAAAAGTCTAGAAATACATTTTCTCAATCTGTTTCATTTCAGTCTATTTGAAACCAAATATGATAAAGCCAATATGTCAGCATGATCGGATATTTTCTCTTGTCATGAACAAATAGTCGTGCTTTTCTATTCTAATTGTAATGCTTGATAATTTTTTCATATTATTCATTTGTTAGACACCCTTTTATAGGATTGACTTGTGCGTCAAATTGAGGGTATTTTTGAAATACAAGTAGCAGAAGAGACGAAAATTCCATCACACAATTCAATCTAATCAGAAACGACCAACTTAAATTCAACATTCAATAATATAATAATTCGGTCTCTGGCACTAAAGAAACCAGAGTTCATACTCCATGTGATCTAATCTGTATGAAGTCCATCTTGAGTACTGCTTGTCTAGGATAGAATCCAGAAGATAACCACCCAAACCAGTTTGATGGTAATATTGAGATTTTGAAAAGTTGGATATCTAAACAACGTTGGTCATAAATTCTATATATCAGTTAATTTTTAAAAAAAATTTCTGATGATTAAGCGACCGGTTCATTTCAGGTCAACTACAGCACAAGATTTCAAAGTTTTGTCCCGATAGAAAAAAAACGCAGGTATCAACAAGCTATGATGTAAGATTAGCTCGTACTTTATGACTTGTATTGTGAGGAAACCTTATAAATTTTCCCTGCGAACTGTAGATAATGCTAGAACCCTAAAAAAAATTCTATTTCGAGCTGAAAGTGTTGGGAAAACAACGTATCAAATGTGGAAATATTGTTTGAGGGTGTGGAGAAGCTGATAGATCGTTAGTTTTTCCATGTAACCATGAATTGAAATTTCAGCAACAGGAACGTGTGCTACTGGCTATTCACGAGCCCCGTCCGGTCTTTGTGTCAATACCCAAATCGACTTTTATAACTGTGGTTCATTCGGTCATGTGTGCACATCGAACTATACAAGTTGCTCGGGTGGTGTTTGTAGCATGGCTCCTGCTGTGCAGCTTGCTAATGCAATTGGTGTTTTCGGTAATGTTGATATCGATGATGCAGTTATAACAATAAATTTGCCGCTTCGCATCACCATGTATAATTATTCAACTTCGAGTATAGGTGTCAGCAGTAATGGCGTAAGTCTTCTATTGACTGTTCGTCTAGTATATGTTCCAAATTTATAAGTGCATCCTAAAACTCTTGACTGAAAAATTCCGATTGTTGAAGCTTATCTTTTTCTGGACGTCTTCTGTGTTCGAACATAACATAATGATGAGGATATAGATTTCTCGTTAAGCTTAAGGTAAGAAATATTTATTTCATACTGCCACTTTTGTCAAAAGCGTGAAAACTCGGTTTATGTCGTAAAACTAAAAGATTTGAAACATCATGTCTAGAAAGAGGGAATACTAGAATTTTTACAAAAATTCTTGTAAAATCTTTTCTTTATTGCATTGCTGTAAGTAAATTGCATTAGATAGAGTCAAATAAAATGATGAAACGGCAAAGTTCTATTGTTTATGGAATCATTTTCCGACATTTATTCTACTTTTACTTCCTAATGCTTAGACCTGCATGAATGATGGAGAAAAGCTTTTTTAAGCCAATCACCCCCCCCCCCCCCTCAAAAAATTCGATTTTTCGTAAAAGCTTAATTTCGAAAAATTTGTATATATTCTCATAGGTCTTGCAACGGGTTTTAAGCTGAAATCATTTCTTTTATTAAGAAGAAAAAACGTTGAGTATCGGTGTGGGGTATAAATAGAGTAGAGATTTCATCCTCATCCACGCTCAAACCAATACTCACAATATTCGTAAACCGAATGTTGATGTTATACTTTATTTTTCTGTGAGAAAGGAAGGATAGCAATGTAAGAGGATGTTTTATCATTACGATCGAGTCCACTAATTTTTTTTTCGATGGCAGCATAACAGATTACTGACAAAATATTCATCAAATGTATTAATCCATTGATGTTTTTTCTGGAACGTTTTCTCCTCTCGTGGGAATACGATTGTTCTACGTTTTTGACCGTTAGAATGAACATTGAAGAACATATATTTGAAACTGATAAACAATATGTCACAGACTCTAAGTGTTAGAAAACATTTCAATCGGGACTTATGAGAATGCTTGATTCGTATTTAAATAACGTAGGTCGTCTGTCTTGGGGGCTGCTCCAACGCGTACACCAACGGGAACTTACCAGCTAGCAGTTTTTCTGGAGTTACGGCTTTTGGTTATTGGGATGATTTGTATCGTATAGCAAATAGTTCCCAGAATATCTACTATGCTGTTGATGGAACAATGCCTAATCGAACGACGACTTTTGAGATTTATGCCACTCATTACGGTCAACTAAGTCAATATTACCATTTTCAAATAATATTCTATGAAAACTTGCCCAATATCGTCAAGTACGTCTATTTCGAGGCTTCTGATACGGGTAGTTCGGCTACAATTGGTGTCCAAAGTAAGCTCCATGTATGACTCTTTGTTGACTAAATCTTGTCATCTTAATTCTAGAATCATCAAGTGGACCAAGCATAACTTACTCTGTCAATCATGTGAATTCGGTAACGCGTAATATGACACTAACATTTGATACAAATTCTGGCACGTTTACAGGATGAATACAGCTACAGAAACAGTAGCTTTGTGCCTAAGAACTTTTCTTTTTCTTTTTTTTATCTAACTAGTTTTACTTGTATTTTTTAATTTTCTCTTCTACTCTATTATCGTTGTTGATCTTCCACAATGTTGCATTTTCTCCAATGGATTTCTTCATTTCACTTTGCTCTCTTTCTTCGGTGTGTAGATGTATGTGTGGGAATACCGAAAGACACAAACCTATTGCGGCAATATTTTAACTTCATTCATGTCAATGCAAGTTAAATAACATTTCTTCACACAGTCTCGAACATAGACAGAATTCTATTTCCTTTGTCTAGGTCTGAAACTAAGTGAGTGGGTGTAAGTGACGATCAAACACTCATTCGCCTATATTCACTTCTGCCTCACTCTCCAAAGTGGAATATGTCACGCGATGACGAACGACATTCAGAGTTTGAAAGCAAGCCAAAAAGTGAAAGTGGGGTTGAGTAATTAATTTCAATTTTACTGGTAAATATGTCGTGCACGTGTTTCAAAAAAGAAGGAGTGATGATATTTATCTAGAAGAATGATGCTGGAAGATATAATAAATGGCGTATCATCGCGATGGATCTTTCTCTGACATTATTACAGAATATGATGAATAGATTTGTGCTCTTGCCTGATTAAATAATAAGCATTCTGATTTGGATCTGTGATATCTTTGTTGTGGTGGCTATTCTTCTTTTCGATTGCAATTTTCTACCAGTTACCAAATGTTCAATCAGTGATGGTTTTTCATTTCAACTCCTTTTATCTTGTGATATTGTGCAACACTGGGCTCGTGATCGATTTAGTTTTAAAAAACTCATCATTTTTCTTTTCAGTGATAATTGAAGAAGTATACTATAATCGACGGTGAACATTATCTTTGTTTACGTCCTTCTGACTAATGATTTGGGCCTGTCCATGTTGCTTTGGAAGCACGTAAAATATATTCATGGCTCGAAAGTTCCATTTTTCGAACAGAAGTCTTACGTCATTTTTGCTAGTGACTCAGAGGCAAGTATGACTAATCGATGTGTTAATTTGTGATTCTTACAGGATGAGAAATATGAAAATCGGCTAATGTCGGTCTACCAGTTGCAACACTGATATATCTACATACCAGCACTCACATTCTACGATTATAATGTTTGTTTGATCAACCGTGAATCCAAAATCTTGCACGGTTTTTTTTTATTCCATATAGGCATAACATGTAAACTAAACACAACATTTTAACGCCTCAAATAAAAAAATATTGAATTCTATTGCCACAGGAGTATATGACTCTTCATATAAGCTCTAGGAATAGAACTAAAGTTTCTTATGACAATATTTTCTAGTAACATGTATATAATGTTAAGCAAAGTAATATTCTAGTGACCGTGCTAAATTAAAAGATGAATAAAAATATTTTGTTAATTTTCATTGTTTTTTTGTTTGCTCTATTTTATTCGTGTCGGCTTCACCAAGTTGTTTAATTACGCAAAACAACTATAACAACAGCTATATTTTGAATAGTGAGATCGAACATGCACAGCTGTCCTAATATTTTTTTTTTCTTTTTAACTAGGATTCACTTGTTCTCTACTACCTGAATGACGCATAGTAGTGTAGCATTAAATCAAGACGAAAAGGACTATAAACATTTATCTGTGTGGATGAATCCACGTGCCTATATGCAATCATACGCCACTTCCTTTTTCTCTTCCTATAATCGAAAAATAAATCAAACAAAGAAGAATTGCTCATTTAAGTTACCACCAATCATTTGTGACAAATACTCAAAAACGAAATAGTTGGAGATGACTAATAGATCGGCGAAAAATTGTCTTCAAGAATATTGCATGAAACATAAACTCATATTACCAATTTATCGAATTGTAAAACAATCGGGCCCACCACATGAAACTCAGTTTCAAGTAAGTATTTCTTTATCTTTACATGTGTTAGTGAAACATAATGACGAAAGCTAGTCATATTTGTCTTTGACTTAATTCTGATTGAATGATAAACAAAGTTATCTAATTAAGAGGTACAATTTTAAATAATTCGGTCATAAAAATGATGATGCTCATTCGGATTACTACTATTCACATGTTTTCATTCCATCGTCACTGCTTAATAATATAACTTCATTAAAGAGTTTATCAAAAATCAATTTCAGATTAAAATATAAGCGTATTAAACTTAGGAACACCATACGAACGCTTATAGTTTTTTGCTCACTTTTATTTTGTGTGTATAAGATGTTTTTCTAATTTACAGGCAGAAGTTGAAGTTAATGGACAGCGATATGCTGGAGAAGACTTGTGTTCATCGAAGTCAGCTGCACACCAGTCGGCAGCAACAAAAGCATGTCAGACACTTATCGTTGATGATATTGATCATCCTTCAATCGAACATTTGCCTTCCGAATATGCTGACATTGAACACTTTATAGGTCAAATCGTCGAAAGTACTGGTGGTCGAATTCGAAAAATACGACCAATTAACGAGCATGGAATATATCGATTTGAAATTACTGGTTCCTACCGATATTGTGAAAATGTTCATCGTCATCACAAAAAAAATCATATATATTTCATAGTGAATCCAATCGAAAGAACTCTCTATCAAAAATGTTATGATCCTGGCTGTCAAGGTTTTCGCAGTCGATCGAGGCCGATCACTGAAGGACAGAGCACTGTGATTCCTCCAATGCCAAAAAATCTTGTCGAGGAATGCCCTAGTTGTCTAAAACAAATGCCTAATGTTGGAAGAAAACAATGCCAAGAATGTGCACAACTATTTTGTTCTCAATGTGTGTGAAACTGTTCCCTTTGTTACGAGACGACTAAATGCCAACAATGTACAGAATCGTGTAGGGACGCTTATGATCCATTCTAACTATAATATCTATGATTTTTTTTATATTATTTTTATTCAAATTTTATATAATATATTCTTGATAATATGATAATCATCAATAAACTTCTATAACATATACATTTGACTATACGGTATAGGTAGAAAAAGGATACAAAAAATAGAACCAATATCATCAACAATTGTATGATAGTACTCAGTTTGTAACTGTTTCTACGTAACTCATTCTGTTCGTTGGTAGATTGTAGAATACGTTAATTTAAATATGCATGGGTATCATTTTGTTCGTGTACCTATTCTTCTATACAATAAAACAATTCATACCAAAATAACATGAATTTCATTCTATAGCGGATGAGAGTGTGAGTCGGTTAGAGAAAATGTTCATCCATACCCACGCCCACTTTTGTTTAACAAAAAAGTGAAGAGTCACCCCTGTTTTGCCAGCATAATGCATCCGATTTAGCTGAAACGTTTTTCTAATTCTAAAAAATGTTTATGGTAACTGATTCTATTTTATTTCAAAATATGATATGCTACTGATTCTTGCTAGAATCTATAAAAGAATCTCTAACCAAAAAAAAACAAGCATTTCTGAGGGTACTCTCAATATTTAAGTGTTTTTATTCGAACGGAAGGAGATCAATAAATACTAGAAAATTAGGCACCTCAAACAGTATCTAGTATCTGTGAAAAAAATTTCATCTTTATTTGAAGTATTATGACTAAAAAAGAAGCGATGGAACGGTTCATTTTTAGCTCTTCTAAGCTCGTTATCTTCTACGAGAAAGCATTTGTCAATCTTGAATATATAATAAGATTTGTTGTACCCATCGAAGTATAATTACTGTAAAAATTTTAAAATTATCTGATGAGGCATTCTCCAAAAGTGTTAGAAAAAAGGCTGAAGTGCCCTAAATGCAAGGAGTTTATGATGAAAAAGTTGTTGTTTTGCTTAGGATTTATAAAATGCTTTTTTGACACTTTTTTTGTTCTCTCATATATTTTGATGCATTAACAGCCATTCCTTCATTAATAATGGAAGCTTCGAATGTCCTTGTTCTGCCATAGAGATGGTACTTCTAAGCACTGTAATGATAAACTGTCAGGAAGTCTCCATTAGCTAGAACGATCTCAATATGAATCTCTTCTACGTTGAGTGTTGGTGTGGATGTGACTAAATGTGATTGAGTACGGTGTTAGTTTGTGGTTCACCTATATCCTCACTCTTTTTCTTATTTATCATTTCGAAAAACAAGCAGCAGCTTAAATAAAATTACAAAGAAAAGTTTTTATTTTCGCGTAATACCGTAATAAAAAATAGAAGCGATTAAATGAAAAGCTATGTCTATTATTTCAATTAATGATGAAGGATTTCATTTGGAATACGATGATGTAGAACAAGATGATCTTGTTAATAGTGCGATAGTGTCCACTGTTCATTTGAAACATAAGGCGTGTTTCTTCCTCTTCAATCTGATCAAATACGGAGCAATTTCTATTCCATGGTTGAGCTGAAGATTCATAATAAGGCGTAATTTGAAAATATTTTTCTGCAGTTGGAAAATACATTGACCATGATTGCAAAGGTTCTCCTGTTCGAGCCGTATTGATCCAATGTGAAATAATCTCATTCGAAAATTTTCGTGTTTGATTATCCCATGTGCAGTTGTAGGAATTCATTGAACTATAAGTACTGATAGTTCCAAAGACATATGGAATTTCTTGTGTATGAGCACATATACCAGCACCTTCTTCAACTGATAATTGAGGACATATTCCCGGATTACAATCCAAATGATACCAAAACAACTTTTGCGATTGCTGTTGTTGCTGATATTTCATGTATAAATTTTTGTATATTCGGAGGACACTACAATCAAAGAATTTATCCATTAGCAATAAACGAATAACATTACAGCAACGATTCGTAGCGTTTCTATTGGAAGAGCAACTGTTTAGCTGATAATAATTGATAACCAACGGTGACCATTTGGGTCCTATCACTTGATTTATCATTGATATGGCATCTGTTGAGTTCATATCAGGATTTTCAAAACATATCAGATGTTCATATTCATTATTGCCCATAATCATTGTGATATTTGGATTGTATTTTCCATTCTGTATTGCCAAAGGTGGATAAAATGGAAAAAAATATCCATCAATAATTGGTTTTGTTTGACGATTACCATAGGCATTGATCAAATTTTGAATTGAAGAATTACGTAAACAAGAAAGAACTAATGAATTACTTTCGCTTGTACAATTCATTTGTTGAACAACTGTGTTTGACACGCCAATCGCATCACTCACATTTGAATAATACAAATAATGACCAGCTCCGCCTGATTGTGCTATAATGTGTTGATAGAGATTGAGTGATCCCTTTAATGCGCCAATGTCTACAACTGCATTGGCTCCAGAACTTTCCCCAAATAATAGAACATTGTTCGGGTTACCACCGTAATCGCGAATATTTTTATTAATCCAACGCAATGCTGACAACATATCTAAATAGTAATAATTACCCGCTGTTGGCCAGTTTGATGAATTTTCTTCGATCAAAGCCGGTAGATACATATCAGCTAGAACGCCTAATCGATAATTAATTGTTACAATAATAGCCAACTGTTGAGGTGAATTAGCAATAATATTTGTTCCATTGTACAACGTAGGAATACTCTGTGATGAGCAACCACTTTGTAGACCGCCACCATGTATCCATACGAGAACCGGTAGTAATGATTGATTCGATACACCTATTGGAGTGAAAATATTTAGATATAAACATTGTTCGTCTTGTCTATCTATATATATTCCCGCAGGTCGTTGAGGACAACAGGGACCGAATGAAGTTGCATAAAATGTACCGTTGAGAAAAGTATCAGATACAAGATCAATGGGAGGTTTCCATCTGGATACTTTAGCGTATTGAATTCTACATAATATAGTCAAAATGAGATTGTATTGATCGATAAATACTCACCCGTAACTATGAACATAACTTCTAAGTGTTAATCTTAAGTGTACAGTGTTGCTTTTCATGGTCAGAGATTTGTCATTAGCCAGGGTACATGATTTCTTTGGGATACTATCTCAGCAGAGAATTGTTTTATTTTTTTTTGGCGGATTATCGATATTCACTCACTAGAAAGAATTCATGAGAGACTAATGATACTATGATATTTTCATACTATTGAGCAATAATCTTTTCAATTCTCATATAACGCACACTATTCGACAATTCTAATTTTTTCGAAGGCGTATTCAGACCAATATACTGGTACCATTTCTAACCCAAAAGATGTTTGGATAGAAAAACCAGTCAGAATATTCCTCTATCGTCTATGAATTAGTCAAGTATCTGGATTTACTTAACAAAACAATGTTTTTTTTCTGATGCAAATTAGAATATTGACTACTGGATATATCCCTACTTTTTCTCACATTATTTTCTTCTCTTATTATAGGCAAGATTTATCGGCGAATGAGCGATTTTAATCTTACCCTAAGTATTCGGTTGAATATTGAGTTTGTCGACCATATATTATTCCTTTCTGGGTTTGAAGTGCAACATCTATTGCAATAGTAAAATCAAGTATATATGATAAAATATAGTACAAGAGTCCCACAATGAAGATGTTTAGATTTAAGTGAATCATCTGAAATATATTTGACAAAATTTTAATCTTATTCATCGAACATATGATCACAGAAACTCAAGAGAGAATTTATTTTTGCTTAAAAACCTTTCAACAAATCTCTTCTGAGTCTACATACAAGAAACGATAGCGTTGTTGCAAGTACACAAATATCTTCTTTATCTTCGGTTTGATCTAATATACTTTCCGAACTTTTGTTTTCAACTGGAACTTTAGGAGTCCCGTACGTGAAAAGACAAAATATGTATCACATTTTCGCACTGTAATTTCATACATATTAGCAATTGATGTTCGAAAATTATTGTTTGGAGTTTACCGACCGCGTACATGTCACTTATCACATAGTGCCTTTTACTTGATGTGATCTTGTTTTTCTAATTAAGTGCAGGCTCTAGGTTTCACACACATTCTTCAAACTTCGATAAGTGTTGTTTTTCTTCTACTCTTATGGCAGTATACAATGATGTTAAAGCAATTTACTTATACCTTACTGAATAAATATAACGAAACTAAGTTATTACATTTTTTTGCGCTCTCTGCATAATAATATGAAAGAAAGCAATGCAAATGTATATCGATTCACGGTAAGTAATGGAGCGTAAGAGTTAAAAAGCGTTTTACCTTCGTTTTTATTTCATCGTAAGTCGTGAGAGAACCGAAAAAAAAAGTCGTGATATAGCTGGACCTATGTAGACGTATACGTGAAAGAACGAAAAAAACTAACATCAGTAACGTAATGATTTTTTTTCTTTCTTTCTTTCTTATGCTATAATGAAATACATCATTTCACAATATTCAAAGATATTAGGGCTCATCACTATTTACAGGACTATATATCGACCTTTAGACGAAATCAGAATGCGTAACGAATGTACACTTCATTATTTGAATAAGATTCCTGGAAAATTAAAAATATCAACATTAGAATAGGAGGAATAGTAACCAAAATCGTCTATGAATGTATTCATCGAGTCCAATTCAAATGAAACAAACTCGCCTCAAGTCTAATCGAAATGATCTACAAATCTATGAACAATGTCAGTTCATCGAGTAAAATTGCGATGATTTTCCCATATGCAAAAGAAATGTTTACTGGAAATAAGCAGACAATCTTTGAGGTGTGGATTTGCTTTCTACTAAACTAAAGCATAATAAATCTTTTAAACCTTTAGAATGAATCGTTTTGATATAAATGTCTCATTTTGAAGTGATAGCAAAGAACTACGAACTAATCTACCCGAAAGACTGATTGTGTTTAAGCTTGATATAAGAAAAGAGTTCTATGCAAGACTTACTTTGCCGTCTGTCTGTTAGAAATTGACGTTTCAAGTGAACGAACAGTAACTGCTTGAAAGACCACTCATAGCGATCATCTACAGCAAAAGAGTCTGATGCTCTAATGAACCGTATATGGTAACGAGAAAAAGAGTCGCGATTATAGTTAACAGACTATTATCAAATATAATATTTAGGGCATGCCAAAAGTAAGGATGTTGACAGTTTAATACTGTATAATAAGCTTTAAGAAATTTCTCTCTATGTAGTCTGATAGAGAAAAAATTTCTCTTTTTTTCTATCCTATCTGATCATACATCAACTTATATCATAATAATAAGATTTTTAGTAAGATCTGTTTTTCTATCATATGCGACGGTTATACTAATGCCTATTCAGTGAATATTTTTTGAATAACTTTGATAAAAATAAGATAGAGAGCTGCGGTTTTCATCATTCGAAAGAGAAAATGAAAATGCATCGAATTTTATTATTGGTTTGTGAACATGGGTTTTTAAAGGCTGTCAATCGACTTCTTTGAAAACACACCTAATTAATAAGGTGTTTACAGCGAATTCTCAATTGTCAGATGTGGATTCAAACCACCGATGGAAGATCTGCAAAACTGAAGAAGTTTCAGATATTTTCCATTAATCATTCAGAAGTTATTGATGTTCTCGTCAAAGCTCTAAGTGATTTTTCTAGCAATTTCTGTAAAGAAATAAAAAAGCATTTTTTGCATACTTAGAAAATTGATTGAAGAAATTTCAGATAATGTTTAGGAAAATATATATAATATGGAATTCGATGCGTCTTCATCTTCGCTTTCCAACGGTGAAAATCGCAGCTCTCTATCTTATTTCTATCAAAAGTTATTCAAAAATTATACACACGAATTAGTATAACCGTCATATATGATAGAAAAACAGATCTTCTTGAAATTTTATTATTATGATATTAGTTAAAGTATGATGAAATAGTATAGAAAAATAGAGAATTTTTTTCTCTATAAGACTATATAGAGAAAAATTTCTTAAAGCTTATTATACAGTACTAAGCTGTCAACACCCTTACTTTTGGTATGCCCTAAGTATATTGGTTGCTAAAGTAACAGTTCATCAACTTTGCACACAACTTGATGAATTATCTTGATCACTCTGGCTACAAAAGTCAGCATCAATCGACACAATCATTTTAGCCGTGCGGTCTGTGAACACTAATGTCGCTCTTTTTCTATTCTACGACATATCATTTATTCAGAGAGGCACGTTTCGTATGTTTTATCTTGTTATTTTGATTTGTATCCCAAGTATCATTGACATATTCCTTGCTTAAATATCACTCTCAATTGAAAGTATTAAGTCGGTGATTAAGACGATTATTCTTGACACTCCTACTGGTTATAAATGAAACTGATTGATGTCCCCATCAACTATTCTTATAGGAAAAACAAGTCGTACGTTTGACTATCCATAAATTCTTCCCATTTCATTTCGTCCTAAGCAATTATTCTCATCACGAGCTAACTAAGATGTCGAAATCAAAGATGAAATAAGAGATATAATATAAAAATAGTGTTGTTATGTATGACAAAGAGGGTGTGTGGGTGTGCTCTTAATCCACCCATATCCACACAAAACAAAACCCAGCCACAAATGCGATTGATTACAGATACAGAACCAGACGATGCCAATGGAGACTGCCAAAGGTTTTTCAGTCGAAGATTTTGAATCCATCAACTTCTTTTCGGTCTATGGGCCTAAGAAAGAGTCTCTCGCTTGACTAGATGATAGAAATGATGCATCAAATAAGAGCGCACTTTGAACTAGTTGATTTTCGTTCGATGATATCTCAGCAATAATGGCAGTAAACTAGATCAAGTTATACTACTGAGTGCGAACATATCTTCTTTCTCCAGTAGTGAAAGAATTTTTTTTTAAAGTTTTTGAATGACCAAGTAATTAACGCTAGAACGCAATTTATTGGTCGTACTCTAAATAATGATACTGTCTCAAAAGAGAGAATATGAGAAAAGCAAAGATCATCACCTACACTAACACTCACTCCTATGCATAAGGTGATGAGAGCATATGTAGTGAAATATCTTGAGTACATTAAAGCTCATGGAAGTATTTGAAAGCAAAAGACACAAATATAAGGAGTTGCTTACGTAAATTTTATATTCATCAACAGACAATGTGTGGAAATATATTCTGATTAGATTCCGTGGCATATTAACATTGTTGAAAGAGATCGTGACTGTAATTATATGGACGTTGTAGATGAAGGAAATTTTCAAATTTAGAATTTGTGGGAGTAATATTTGAACCAGAGGACATGTTGTACTTGTATTTACGCAGCCCTTATCGAAACAATATTTTCCTTCCTCTGAATTAAGGTTTGCAATGAAAACGTTTTTACGAAAGTCCAAAACATGATGGAATGAGGAGTACACGTTCCCTAAAACATTGCAATATTGCTCCGGATCTAGAAAAGTGCAAAACCCAGGCACCTAACGGGGTATTTTGAGCATCAACAAAATTTGAATAGTGACCGCTAATGCTAACACTCTCATTTATTCGTTCTGATTTTTCTTGAAATCAAACAAATATTATCTGATGTTGGAAGTTGCTTAGGTTGAAATATTAACCTCATAATTGCTCTATACATCTATGCCCACCAAATCTTAGTCAATGGTCAGAAAGTCCCTTGATATTGTCATCAAATGCTATCTAAGTGAATATGAAAAAATGTATTAACGAACAGATTATTAACCTGTCCGCTGACAATAAACGGATTTATTTTAGCTCTGTGTCTGTATTTGGTACTGAGCTGGAAAGATGAAACTTGCAAAAGAGAAATTCATTAAAATTACTCGGGAGCATATTGTTTTATTTTAACTTTAAGCTTCAATGTATAATGGTAAAATAAACATGCGACAGACTCATTAGCTCATTTAAAATCTGAGCAAATTTTGTCAAGTTACGTATTTTCTTTTTTCAAAAAGTTTTTCGTAATTAGCACACATGTAATGGTTATATATGTGTCTATTACAACGTCAGTGTTACTGTAAGCATATGTTGACAAATTGTCTTTTGGTAGAACACGTGAATTTGAACAAAAAAAGCATTTATTCAATATAGATTGGATAACCTGAAGGCAGAACCATATCATATCCTCCACCGTGGAATATCGGAACAAAAATCACTTCTCCAGCTTTGACACGATTGATCACAAGTTCTTGTCTTTTCTCAAAGTTAGTCGAATTAAAAATAAATCGTTCTGGTTGCAATGTTGCACAATCGATGCAAGTAGAAAGATTTGATGTTTGCCATTCAATGATGACTGTATCATTCCCATGAATTCGATGAGGTGGAGTATTGAGCCAAACTTGTACTGTAGAGCTTCTATGCAGTTCAATCGTCAACACCTGTGGTTCGTATTGGACTCCTAATGTAACATCTCTACAAGTATATGCCCAACTTTTTGGAATCGTATCGAATAGACTTTCATCTGGTTTGCCCATCGATATAGCTTTGTATGTTGTTATTTGCTGTACACAACTACCATCTTCAGATTGAATTCTTCTAATAGATATGTCAGTACTTCTCTTAAAATAAATTTCATCACACGGATACAGTTTAGTGCCACAGACTCGACATTTCACATTGGAATACCAATAATCTTCCGTTCTTGTATTGTTAGTTGAATGTACCATTTCATAGTCAAATTTTACGTAATTCTCGATTTTAAACGAAGTACTATTATGATACCAATGTAAAGGAAATGAATTAAAAAAATTACCACCATACTTCTCATATGTCTCGTACATACAATCACTGGGCGAGAAGGATACAAGTAATTGAACATAATGTTTCGATTGGGGTGAATCTGGTATTGAATATGGAAAATCTTTCATGACAAACGAATATTGTTTTCCAGTGTAAACACTTGTTTGATAAGCTTACTGATTCACTTCATCAATTGCCATGATTGTTTGATCATCATCAATATAAAATGTGATTTGCGGAGGAAAATATGGCTGAATACATCGTGTTACATGAACACTTAAAAGAAATGACATGAACCATAGTAATGCTGTCATAAAGATTTTGATTTCTAAAAGATAAATATTTATTGATTGAATATCTAGCCAAAATTTTACTAGTCTCATGAGAGGATAATGAAACCTTCAAACATTATTTTTCGTGATATTTCAAAGCAATTTGAATAAAATATTATTTTAGACACAGTTATGATGGTGGCAGAAATATAACTAATGGCTTTCATAGAAAGAAAATCCGAATAGTTGTCAAAAAGTAGGGCGTACTGGAAAAATGCACGCACACACGTCTACACATTCAAAATTTTATCTAACTAGAATAGAAGAAGCAAAGCAAAGATGTGTGTGTCTGGCTGCGCACGTGTATGTCGATGTGGGCATTCGTACGGATGTGAATGCGGGTGTCTTAGTGTTGATGTTTAGGCTACGGCATCGATCGAGATACACAAAACGTCTGCACTCGTAACGACAACCTTACTCATATTCACACCTCTGTAACGAATTATCGTGCAACGCACTGCTCTAGCACCAATAAAACCAGTTAATGAGACCAGTAGTCGATTCGAACCAAGTCGTATGAATAACAATTCAACCCAATATTCATCTTTGTTTAATAGCTCTATATTTAGATAAATACTGAATTGATTGAGCTATCTAATATAATTATTAGATCTCCTCTCAAAAACATATTTTGGTTCGAGAAACTTCAACCTTAATGAAATTTTCTGGGAGTATATAATTGATTTTACACAGCTTATAATTAAAATCAGAAACCGAAATATATAATTTCTCAAGAGTTATTACGAAATTGATTATAAAAAAAGACTCTGTGCACAGAAGATTTCTCCGCGATTTCAAATGTTCGAAAGCTTCGAGAAATCTTACAACGAAGCTCAAACAGTGTCAAGTAGAACCAACTTTTAAAATCTTTTTTTTGTTTATTTTATCTAAAATATTTTATAATAGGAAATATTCAAACAACATTTCCTATTAATGAAAGTTTCTCGTAAATCTTTCCACTAAGCTATTTTAAAAAAAGCCATCGTTAACTTTTTCTACTGCTTCATAGTACAAACTATCACCGTCACAATATGTAGTTTGAAGATATCAGTGGTCTTTTTGGGATATGACTACGAAATGTTTTACACACTTGTCACCCGTTACAGTTAGATAAGTGTCGTGTTGTAACCTTGAACGCAATGTTTCATTGTACAAGAATTCATATGAAAATCGATAAAATGTTTACGAACTATCATTCTGTTCATAGATTGAAAACTGTTTGAAAACATTTATTCCTTGATAATTTCAACGTTTCATTTGATGAATGAAGTCGATTGTTTTACGACTTGCTCGTAGCATATAAATTGGGATAAAACTGTCAACTACCTTCGTTCAGTGTAATTTCCGTGCTTCTTCTATTAGTCTTATGCATTAGGCACACATATTTCTTATTTAGAACTCCTACCAGTTTTTATGACGCATTTGTTTGATGTATTTAAATTATGGTCTCTCTGGCCATTATTTGCTCTTAGAAATATGTCATATGAAGTATAATAAACACATACAAAGCATAGATGTAAGACTGACAATGCAAGAATAATAAGAGAGATTTATCATTTCTCCATAGATAACCTTAAAGCAACAGATCAAACAAACAAAACTACTTTTGTAACATTGCCTTTGCTTGTTTGTGTGACTATCAGTGAGAAAGCCGATAAGACATTTGATATTCTGAGTTGAGTTTGATTATTCCATTTTTTCTTTGTTGTAGATCGATTTGGAAAAAAATTTTGAGTCAAAAAAAAAAAATTATGATAGAAACATGAAAACTGCACAGAAATGTGATTTTTATGTTGAAGTATGTAATTAAAGAAGAGACCTATTTAATATTATTTAAAAGTCTTTATTTTTAACATTTGACTTTTCAAACGTTTTTCTTTTGCTTTTCTCTTTGCCTGTTTTTTTTCATTTGTCGCCTTCAATGTCTCTATTTTTTTCTTCTTCATTTTCCTGTTTTTTTTCGACTTTTTCTTATTTCATGTTTTCCACCAAATCCTTGCTCCTTTGATAATCACTGAAATTATGTTTGGTTTTGTCGTTGGCTCTTGTGTGCTGCGTAATATCGATCTTCTTTCGTGTTTTTTGAATATAGAATGATGTTAAACAGAAATTTTATTATGTGCTTAATTGTTAATACAGGTAGCACTTTATCGTTATTTTACTTTGAAAAAGTAGGGTAAAGTAAATTACAATGTTTTGGCTTTCGTTGCTCATTTTATATAGTTTATTATACAAACTCGATATGAATTTGGCATGTATATAAAACCGAGTACAATAAAAAATAAAAGATATTAATGACACATAGGAGGTCGTGATACAATAGGCATAAATGAAGCCGTTGGATAATCAGTTTTAACCACATGTCGTAATTGATTTTTGACAGGTTCATGTCGATCAGACTAAAACGAAACTCAATAGTCATTCGAAAATAAATTTGAATTTATTTACCACATTTTCGTTAGCCGACATCTAAAATTCAGAAAATAATAATAAAGTAAATGAATATTTATATTTATACATATATACATATATGTTAGCGTCTAATCTCATATCCACTTATACCCATCTGGGATCGAATATTGGAGAGTGTGGGACGAAGAAAATAAGCAAATTCACCTTAGTGCTCAGGGTGACCGTCGTGATCATGCCTGCAAGTTTATCACAGATAGTCATATAACTTGTTTCTGTGTTGACTGTATTAGTTTTTTTACAGTACAGATAATTTCATATTCTCAGTTTGTTGCGACAAATTTATTCATGTTTTTATGTGCATCAAAACAACTAAATATAAATGTCACAGGAATAATTAGAACTTAAAAAATTGCAAATTTCCTTGATTCCTAAGCTCTCCTGTAAGCAATGTATCAAAGCAAGTGAATCGAATCAAATTAATTAAGAACATGGGTTTCCGCTTCTTGCTTATTAATTTCATCGTTTTTATTTGTTTTTGCCTTTATCGAACTTTCGTCACAATAAGCATCGTTCAAAAAAAAAAAGAGATCGTGACTAAAAAACGTGATTACGTCGGACACTAATCCATACTCATACCCCTTGTTGATTTTTTTTTCTTGTTTTCTTTGCTTATTATTAGAAATTGTATCTTGTTGAAAATAAAACTTCGTGTGCAGTTGTTAACTTTCACTTTAATGTGATATGTTATTCGATTGAAGATCGACCTAGGTCAATCTAAGATTTGACTAAAATTTTCAGAAGAATCTTAGATTCGACCTATTGCAATTGATCAATCTGAGAATGGTCTGAATTAATCTACGTCCAATATCGAATCTCAGATTGTAGGCTAACATGTATGTATACAAAGTACAAAAAAACATACAAATAACTGACCATAAGATGCATATAAATGCGACGTTTACGTGATTTTAATTGACTTTCTTCAAGTGATATATGATTTGGTGATTCTGATGAATTAATTTCGATTTCTCGAAAACCAAATTTAAGAACATGATGTGGAAGATGTCTAAATGAAAAAAAAAACAAGAATATATCAAAAGAATTATTAAGAAAAGTATTTTCTACATTTTTGAACCACGAATCGGTGGTAAAAATCTTTTGTTATGAGGATCACGAGATATCGATGTTGTATAATTATAATCATGTACTGAATGCTCATCATCTATGTTTGGTATCGATTGTTTTGTATCACTAAATTAAAAACTGAAGATATTTTTATTGAAAACAATTCTCTTACCTTTCTTTAATCGGAGAATCTTCAACAATTAATTCATCCTAAATTTAATTTTAACCATAATTAAAAAAGACTTTAGAAAAATATCATACTTGTCTATTATTAAATATTGATGCAATTTGTTTAATAATTGGATCATTCCAAATAACAGGAATAAGATTTTGGGGTATTCGTGTATGAAGTAATGGAATGAATTTTGGATAAGAATGAATAATTTTTTGAAGACAATTTTCTGAATTGAGTGTACCTTGAGATTTTAATACTAAATATATATAATCATAGAATTTCTATCTTTAGAAAAGATAAATACACACATTGAATAAGCAGCCAAGCGTGTGTTACGTCCATTTGTTTAGAACTTGAAAGATTACATGTTGTTGATGAAATCATTTTTGATTTCTTTTGTTCTCGATTAATTTTCATAAGATTTGACAATGCACCTTCTATACTTTGAGCTTTGCTAATATTGATACCTGGTAAAGATTATTATAAATATAAATTCCATCGATGAACGAGATGCTTTTTTTTTTAATTCGAAAGACTAGTAGCACTAGCATTATATTGATTCTGTATTAAATATATCAATATAATCCTATTCTAAGTCTGAATTTCAGCTTTATCTCTTGAACTTAAAAGAATAATTCAAAAGTTGAATAGTCTGCTACTAGTAAAAAATTTTCTTGATCAATTTGAAATTGGAAATTTTATTAATAATATGATTTCAAGAGTACTAAATCATATACTAGCAATGATGAACTATTCACTGGAAATATGCTGATCGAGTTCCGATCTCCGACAATATTCGAAACACATAGCAAACTAAATATGAGCTTTGAGTCTTATTTATATTATTCAAAAAAAAAAGTAAAACAAAAGTTTTCTTTGATATATTATTTCCATCTAGGGATGCATATTCGATCATTACTGTTAATATCTGTACAGCATAGAAATATATGGTGAACATTGACAGAGGCAATAAACTTCTTAGAATCTAAAATGAAACTAATTTTTTGTACCATTCAAATGAATTTATTCTAAAAGAATTGAGTAATGTCGAAAAATATAGGCTTGAGACTAACTCTAAAAGCGTTTGACAGAACGAAGTCGATTCTCGTAAAATTTGAATTGACCGCGTTTGGATGATCCAAACTAGACAGATTTTTATGAAGGATTAATAAATTTCAAACAGATTACTCCTAATATTCCCTCAATCTTATTTAATTTTAATTATTAGAGCAATTTTTCAACAAAAGATAAATTATTATTCGCAGACGAAATCTTTACACTGGTAGACATAACATCGCACTACTAGTATTATCTTTCTCTCTGATTTATACATTCGTACTTGATACGTTTTACTTTACTATTTTTCATAATATTTAACAAGAAATCTATACCTTCTTTTGCAGCTTTTTTTTGTGCAGTAGATTGAATATGAGCAAATTGTCTTGATGTTGGTCGTTGATGTATAATATATGGTAGTTTTGTTGGAGAACTAACATGTAATTGATATACGTTTGATGATGAATGTATTTGCATTGGTGAAATACTTAATACATTTGCAAAATTTCCTAAAGATGAACCTGGAATAATCTTTTCATGTTGTCGATGTACTTGTAAAGCACGAACAACAAGTGATGAAAGTAATTGTACAAATTCAACTTCATTTAATTGATTTTGATTATGATTTAAATTTGATAAATTCATTGTATTTTGTACACGTGATGACGATTGTGATGAATCTTGATTCATAATCATATGTGAATGATCACAAAAAACATTACCCATAGAAACTTTTTTTGGAATAAGTACACGACGATTCGGTAACATACGATAAAAACCAACATTTTGTTTATGTTCTTCAAGAATTGTTTGAATTGAATCATGAAATTGTTCTTGATTATTAATGAATGTTTGTGATTCAGGAAAAAAATTCACTTGAGGTTCTTCAATATCTTTTTGTTCAGTAGTTTCTAAAATCAAGAAAAATAATAAATAATATTAGATGTAGATTGTTTTCTTTTTTTTGTTGTTTAATACCGTTTTGTTTTGCATATGAATCCCACATATTTGTATTATTTGGTAAAAGTGATGAACTGAAATCAAAGAAAACAAAAATAATAAATAGACAAAGATAAATTGAGTATTGATATACCGTTTTGTTTCACTTGGTGTTCGTTCTTTTCGAGATTTTGGCATATGTGATGTATCCAAAGTTCGTTTTTCACTAATTTCTACACGAATTGTTGGCTGTATATGTGTCATTGATGAAATAACACTTGATGGAACACTGAATGGATTAGGTTCGGCATGTGTTGGCATAGAACAACTATTTATAACTGATACTTGCTCAATAACTTGAGACGAAGATGAACAAGACCGAGCTCTAGAACCAACATCTTCATTGATTTGCTCTTCTATTTGTGGAGATGATTGATTAATAACTGGTGGTGTTGGTAAACGATTTTTTTCTTGTAGATAATTTTGAAGACTAAAATTTTCTTCTGGTAAAGTCTACAACAAAACAATAAATATGTTTATATTATCATAAAGAATTTAAAGTTCGTACCTGTAAATATGAAATATCATTTGCACAATCGTTTAATACCGTATCGGACATAATGCCTGTTAATTTTTTTAATGATTCACAGCATTCAGTTCGAACAAGAATCTATATAATAAAATAATCCTGAAGAAAAAATTTACTGAATAGAAAAAAAAATCATACTCGAGAATCATTTAAAAATGAATTTAATAATGCAATATCGATAGCCTTTGTTTCTCGGCTAAGATTAACAAGAGTTGATGCAGCTATTAATCGATAATCAGCATCATTATGTGCTAGAAGTAAGATTATAGCATTTGAAACTCGATCAAATTGTTCATCTGAATAACCAATAACGCTAGAAAAAGAAATTATTTTTTAATGAAAATATGAAATTCTCTTAATCAAAGATTTTTCTAGTATTTCTTAATTCAATTTTTCTCGAAAAGAAAAGTTAATTGTAAATATTTGAGAATAATTGCTGAGGAATTTAAATGTTAAACAAGATATAATGATTTTAATCGTACGAGAGAAATATTGCAACTGACAACCATTATTTGAGATCATATTGGACTCGCAGATAGATCTTAATGATAATAGAAAGCATTTAAAAGGGTTTGTCTGAATTAGTTTTTGACATCAAATTATGACCTATTGGCTGGATTTTCGAACCAACTTTTAGGTAGTTCTCGAAAAACTGAGTAAACGAATTTTGATGCCAAATTTTATCTATAGATAGGTCTAATAACTCTTCGCATATCTTGAAAGTGTCAACCGAAAAGTATTTCTTCGCTGAGCTGTTGAATTTTTGAATTGAACTCGATTTTTGTGACATGTCTGTGTTAAAGGGCTATTTTTAAATATTCAATAGCTTGACGAACGAACATTATTTTCAGTTAAAACTTTCAGAATATTCTAAGAATAATCGAAAATCCACGAAACTGATTATAACTCGACATCACAAACCAATGGAGACGAATTCCTTTAGGCTTTTGTTAGTCTCATTGAGACCTGTATCTGGGCCCAATATAAGCTCAAATAATGGGTGTCAGCTCGGATGGTTTCACTGTTAAACAAAAAAAAAATATGAAAAATGATATATGTTTAACACAAAAGTGAATTGATTAGAAATCAAGTCAAAGAGTCACAGAAAGAAGGGATTCGTTGAACAATTAAATCGAAACCCTCTTGACATTGAGTTTCTTATTTTCCCAATAGTCAATTAAAATGCCAGAAGTCGATTACCGTTCGAATTAGATCGTTAGACTTCATTCCGACTGTGCGCATAGCTCACTCAAAACTCTATATTATTGATCTCCTATAGTATCATGCAATGCAGTGTTTATATGGAAAGTTTCTCTCTCTCTTCTTCAACTTCTTAAATTTAACTAATATATCAAATGAAAACTCTTTCTTTCCTTTTTTTTCTTTTAGATAACATTGTTCGCTTGAATGTATAATATGAAGTCATCTATGACAAAACTCTCTCAATATTGAACTGCGAAAGTACCGATCGACTTTGAATTATATATCATTTGATGAACTTTTCAAAACTCTACGAAATAATACTATTCAATTGAAGGTAATTTATGGCTCGCAATGAATCGCTGCTTTTACAGCTCAATGCTAAAAGACTTTTGTCATGGATGTCCTCATGTTATACATTCAAGCGAATAATGTCATCATAAAAGAAAATGGGAAAAAAAATAACATACACTTATATGCCATTCGAGAGAGGAAAGAAAACACTTTCCTTTGATATATTAGTTAAATTAAAGGAGCTAAAGAAGGAGGAGAAACTTTGCATTTAAACACTGCATTGCATGATGCTATAGGGAATCAATAATATAGAATTTTGAGGGAATTGCGAGCAGTCGGAATGAAGTCTAACAATCTAATTCGAACGGTAATCGGCTTTTGACATCCGAATTGACTATTGAGAAAATAAGAAACTCAATAGCGAGGATGGGGAGAAGGCGATTTCATTGCTTAATGATTTTCCCTCTTTTGTTTATTAAGAATTGCAGAGGTGGAACGATTGACTATGAAACCTAAAACACATGTTTATTGAAAACTTGCAGTTTTCAAATTTCTCACTTTATAATGGATTATTTAAGTTAAAATTATGAAAGACTTAAAATAATACCGAATTCTATTCATACGATATCACATGTATGAATTATAATTTTATCATGAAGTTCAGTATGTTTTGAATTCAATATAGGCTATATTTGATCTTCAATCATGTTTTTTCTACTCTAATAAATCTTAGCATAAGTTTCAGTGCTTATTTATCGATTGAATTCTAATTCGAAGCTTTTTATATTTGAATGATTAACTAATAATGAATTCAAAAAATAGAATATTTACCTATGTAATTGAACAAGATGTGTTGTTAATGTTTTAAGCATATTTTTTGTTGCATTGGATAATTTCTCTATAATTGCATCAAGTACATAATCAAGAGTAAGTGAAAAATTTCCTCGAGGAAACCATCGTTCTTCAGAAATTTTTTTTAATAATGGATGCATTCCATGATTTCTTTCATCGCCATCAATTATTTCTGATGTGGCTTGTTTGTTATTTTCAATTGTTTGTATAATCATTTTTAATGAAAAATTATCTTCAGGACAATTCTTAAACAAAAAGATGATTAATATTCATATATCAATAATAAATTAATTCTACATACATGAACGATAGCCATATCATCAAGAACTAAATCAATATCATCTGAATTATTGACATCAGTAATAAATTTAATTGCATTAATAGTTTCGTATCGAAAAACATCAGTCTAAATTTTAAAAAAAAATATTTCGTTTTCATTAAATTTTATTTTCAATTGTTTTACCGCTTGGCAATTGAGAACATATTCAAGTAATCGAATAATAATATCTTTTCGTTCAATCATAAATTCAGCTATTGTACGAATTGTATATATATCTAAAGGATCATGTTCATCGGTTGCTAAATGATTCAGAAGAATATCAAGAATTTGATTAACAAGCATTGGCTCGATTCCAGTAGTTCTTCAAGAAAAAATACAGTAAAAGTTTAAAGAAAACAGGAATTCCATACCGAAATATTTCTGTAACATAATAACATGCTGATTCATATGAATCACTTTGTTGTAATTTAAGAATTTCAATTAAATAAAGTAGCATAGCACGAAGACTATGTTTGTCATCTTTTGCTTGTTTCCACCAGGGTTCATTTTGCATTCGTTTAAATATATCTGGCATGGTATCCTACAAATATTTATTTACAAAACTGTTCAAAATATATAATTAATATTAGTGAACACTCAACAATCAAAAAGATTGATTTTATTTTTTCAAAGATAATTAATATAAGCATCCCCTATCATATAAAACTACCTTATTCCAATATATATATATATTAACTGTCATATCTTTTGAGAAAAAATCATCATTAAACTATATCAACAAACCAAGAAAAGAATTTATTATTCGATAATGCTTACTTTTTTACTTGATGCAAGTGTTCCTAATATTTACAAAAGATAATTAAGCACAATATAGGAAAAAAGATTAGATAAAATAAACCTTTTGATTTTTTTGCACTAGCTGGTTTTGATGTATCATCAGGATCTGCCATATCCATCCATTCATCATCATCTTGATTATTGGGATTTTTATAATCTTTATTCTAAAAGTAAATAAATGCTACTTTAAATTCTTCATGATGGACCATGCATATGGACGTGATGATTTTGAATCGATTCATAAATAATTTTCTTATCGTAAATTAAATATTTTTTTTTCTCATATTAAAATAGCAATTACTAAAGAACTAACAAAAATGACATGAATGAAATATCCAACAAATCAGTACCAAACACTAAATTTAAAACTTTAGTTCTAAAAAATTTCAATTCTTTATTAAATTATAATTTTCGTGCAAATTCATGCAGTTATAAAATCTTCTTGAAGAAAAAAAAATTTGCTGCTGTTGTAATGACATTTTTAAAACATTTTCCACACTCCGATAAAAATTTCTCTTATCTAACAACAACAAAATCTAATAGAATCCGTTTAAATATTGTCAAATATCTTATTGACTTTTTGACATGATTTTATAAAGAAAATAAAAATATATTATATGTATTTGAGTAGCTGTTAAAAAAATAACACCCAAGAGAAAATAAAAGCTAAGGATACATATAATCATACCTGAAGGTTGTTAAGTATATCCTAAAAGAAAAAAAAAACAAGTAGACGGATGAATAATATTGACTAATTAAAATTTGGCATATATATGTACACATACCAATCTTAATTGAAATGCTGTTGCTTCAACTGGTTTTATTTGTTTTGTTTTGAATACTGAACGAAAAATTGAATTAGGTATTAAAGCTAAACACAATAGAAAATTTTTTATTGTTATATAAAAATAATCATATAATGAATTACTATCAGGTGCAATTAAATATGATTTTTTCTTTTTAAATATATAACCCATTTCCATTCGAGCTTTTTCTTGTTTGTACAAATCTGCATAACGTACAGGAGCTGGTTCTTCTGGTTCTAAATAAATAGACATAAATAGTATGGATATATGTCAATAGCTTGATAAAACAAACCTGTTGAAATTGTTTTCTCATATTGTCGTACTGATTTGGCCGATCCAATTAATGTTCTATGTATAGAAATAAATAAATTAAATACAAATAAAAATTGCTGTATCTTTATCTTACTTTCCACTACTAGTTCGTCGTTTTTTTCGTAGTGTAGCATAGGAAGGTGAAGAGATTTTTGGATGGATCATTTTTTTTTCAATTTCTCAACGAGCTGCCTTCTAATGTAAAGAGAAGAAAATGAATGCCAAGCAGGTAAGAAGGCGCTGCATACACTTGAAATTGTTGATGCTATTTTAATAACTTTGTTGATTTTTTTTTTATGTTGTATCTATGCTTGATCAGGTTATAATTTAAGTAAAAAAACCTGAGCACATATATCTCAAGTGTCTATTTCAAACAGAAATATAAGAACACAATGACTTTTATTTATAATCAGAGAAAATAAAAGACTAACAATTATCTACAATACTCTTGCAAGGTAAAGCAAATATGCATATGATATCATTCAACAGATAAATATTTTTCTTTTTTGTTCAATATTTTTCGATTAAAAACAAAAATAATTAATCCTTCTTTGATTCACATAGAAAAAAAACCAACTATAAACAATAAAGTTTTTTCCTCATATAAACCAATCGAACAAGTATAGGCGTGAGAAACCTCATAAAAATCATCGTCGTCACAGAGAGTTTCATTATAGATGCCAACTGATTGAAATTCATTTTATTTAATAGAAGAATTCGGTTGAGATCACACAAAAAGAAAAACAGTATTTCGTCATTTGCATTTTAATCTGAAACTTGAAACTAAACACTGCCCATGAGTTGCCGACTAATTTAGCAAAAAAAAAGAACTCCATTGCCAATAAACTACGTATATGAAGCATAAAATATGAACTAAATGATCAGCATTATCATAGCAAATGAAAATGACAGACTAATGAAGAGAGAAATAAAGAACTTGCTAGAAAAAAAAATCATTTTGTACATACATGATCCTTTGCAACTATTACAAGTTAATATAACACCGATACTAGATACATCCAAACAAACCTATTCATAAGTTTGATCAATAATCTTATTGAATTACTATATAGGATTGATTTTTTTCATAAGGATGTGAATGTAGGTCTTTTTTTACCTTGACACCTATTCACCCACACTACGATCTCTTCTGTTGGATTGAATACTTTGGAAATAGCTAATCCTTTGAAAAAATTTTCGTAAACACTCATTTGAAAAAAAAAACAAATAGTTCTTGCAATCACTAATGGAACATCAATCTTTGTGAGCAAGTTGGATCTGCTTCGAGTTTTATTCGCCAATTCTCAGCGCCTCATTTATTATACTTCGGCCTTCGCTTTTCAAATGCAAAAAAAAAAATAATAAGAAATTCTTGAGTCTTAAAGGCTAATAACCTTTTTGTTATTGTCTTTTAAAAAATATAGTAGCACAGACTAAGGTCATTAACAATATAGGATGTCCCAACGACACCCGTGGAGTGGCTCCATTACATAGATCTTTGTCGCAGCACCATGTACCAAAGCCGCCAGCATTAGTTTCTGCGCAAGACTTACTGATGCCACGTTTTGTAGCAAAGTTTCGAGCAGTTATTTTCTATTTTCAATGTCAAAGTACACAAGTGTATATTAACAGAAAGGTGAACTCACCGAACACGAAAATCCGTTGCTATTAGGTTCCTCCACTGTCGCCGTAGTATTTCGGTTGATTGGACTGTTGCAGTTTGTACATTGGTAGCACTTGAGACCGTCGCCAAGTTCACTCAACACTACAACAAATGAGATGTTTTTGAAAAAGTCAAGAGATATTCTCTTTTATTTTTCTCTACAATGATTATTCTACATTGAACGTACCAGCTAGGACAAAGCAGGCAATAGTAATGCATCGAACAGCAGCCATACTTCAGATATACTTCTATTTCGATCGAATTAATTTCTACTCAAATGAGATGCGATAATATAATACGTGCTTTCTTATATCACGGCATTTTAGCGAGAAAAAGAATCAATATATATTTAAGCAAAATTAAAATGAATGTGAGTGTCTTGGACGTCCTTATCTACAATCTCCACATGTCGATGGTATTTTCAGAATAGTATTAGATAACACTGCGTTCGACAAATATTTATTTTTTTTTCTGAGTCATATCGAGTCTATTTTACAACGAAATCATACGATCAGAATTTATTCGAAATACATTGGTGACAAAGAACACTGTCACAAACAATCTTATGATTGAACTGAAAAAAACATCGGATATAGATTTTCCTATGAACCTGTGTCATTTGAAGAAAATGTTCATCTTCACACAGAACACGATGGTATTGTTTCTCTCTATCAAAGAATACGAGAGAATGAATGCAACTCCGTTGAAAAAGTGTTTGGTTTAAGATACAAACCATCAATTTTCAAAATGTACTATTTGGTTGTATGAATGAAAGAGGATAAGAACATTGAAAGATGATTGAAATGATATTTCGTTCTGCTTTTGGCAAAAGATATTTTCATTATACACATCTAGAAGATATTCGATTAGTAAACTTAAAAATTATTTTTGAAATTCATATTCCTGAAAAATAGTTTACAATTTGTTTCTTATGAATTTGATGTTGCTTATCAACACTACAAGAGTGTGTGTGGATGTAAATGTGAGAGCCGAAAAAGAATTATGTCCGCCCTCGTACAGTCGACAGAAAACGAGAGCTATTCATTTTATGATTGCAGCTATTAGCTTAATATTTTGATTACGTATAGCTGGTACTTCATACTGAATATCTGCGCTTGCCCAGCCTCTTTTACTCGACAGGTTTCTATAAAAAGAAGATTTTGGCTTTCGAAAACTGCAGATGAGCACAATTAAAAATTGTTCATTATAATGTGTTTTAGAAAAAATGGGAAAATAATTTTTTTTCATAGACTCGATAGAATCATTAACTCTAGATTGTATAAGCTTTCCATGGACTATCTATTCTTCAAGGGTCTGAAGCAGACTATCATCAATAAATTGTTCCCAACTTTTCAATCCTTATAGACAAAAAATTATAGGAGTGTGCCAACTAGGCATCATTTCATAGTTTTCATTCGATATTTTTTTTAATGTGCGAATTACCTGGATGTAAAATCTGAAGACTTTTAAGAAAAAGCTCACTGTTTGGTTATAGTGGAGCACACGTATACATATATGTCAAATACCTTTAGAAAAATGTATTTTGGTAGTTTATTACTTAAAAAAAATCTTTTGATAGTAAATTATAAAACAGTTAGTAAGCAGTTAATACATACAACTTAGAAGAGCTAGAGTTTTGTACATAAGAGGAACAAATTAAAACGTACTTGATAATCTAAAATTTTTATAGTGTTGCCTGTACAGCAAAATGAAATGAAACTCGTATGCCATATCTCTCCTTAATAATAAATTTAATGTAAAGTTGGACAGTGTAAAAAGAGAAAGAAGATAACGATTTTTGTCCGAAGGTGTATGTCTCACCAGAGAATCGGTACACGAATTTTTCATGTATTTTATTCCTCAACAAGAGTCGAAGAACCGATTTTAAAATAAAATGGTCGATATAAAACCTGAAGTCGGTGTACGTTTACGATTTATTTATGTATTCAAAACTTGATAAACTAGAAACATGAGTGATCACTGTATAAAAATTGTTAAGAAGTTTTGACAAAAAGGTTGCATTTGAAACACCATATCTCAACAAAGGCTTGAACATACATCTTTGGACATCGACTGAAGATAGATGATGATATGCTCTACCAAATAAAAAACTGAAACTTGAATTAAAGTTCCAGAGAAATAACTGCATTATTGATCACTGGTTATTTTTTACTATACTGAGTCTAAGGCTTTGATCTTATTATAGCCTAAAGAACTTCAAGGAGTCTAAATGGCCTGTAATATATAGTAAATACATGACACTTTACAACTATACATATACTAATGAATACAACTAGGCTCACAATTTAAAACATACATTTTACTTATATGGTTCTTTTAATGATATTTACCTGTTTTACGTATTTTGTAATATCTGCTGCTTAGCAGACACTCACTATAAAGCAGTATCCAGGATGCACTTAAATGTAGCAGTACAGTAGCGTCAATCTTAGCTTTAATATAGGTTTAAATATCAAAAATCGCTTTGGTTGCCTGACTATCCACTGTACCTCGGCACTATTTTTCTCTTTTGCTTTTGGTCATCGTTCAATATAGAAACTTCAGTTACGAACGTCTTCGGACTATGATCAATACACATATATATGTATTTGTTCTTTTGTTGTTGATACTTTTTTCGTTTCATGTCTTGTTAGACGACGTAAACTTGATATGATTCATATTCAAAATTTGATTCTGAGTACTGTAGTTGCTGAAAATATTGGGGTTCATAGTTTGTACGGAATATCAGGTTTGATAGCTGGTCTGATAAGCATCGTTCGAGTGACTACATCGGATGGATTGGGCTTTCAAGAACTATATGACGATGTTTACTATAGCTGTCATACCAGTAGTCACATTCAAATTCTTACGCAGTTGACTACCATTCTTGAGCAGTAGTCAATAGCTCCTCTCGAATTGTACGGTCTTTGGTCAGGGTGAGGATGAGTGTAACAGGATGTATGTGTCTCTTGCGAGAGTGTGAAGAGCAAAATTCACATCTAAGAACGCCAACAGCCTTACCCTCATTTTCACATACTTGCTTGCTCAAACGGAAGCAGAAAAAAGGTTCCGAAAACTAGTAAGATGAGCATTCATTTATAAGCGCTTAATATAAATCATTAATTTTTATCACATTACAATCATCGATGTAGAATTTTAAAAACGTAGGTTTCTATGTGAATTTGTTACACGGGTATGTTTATAGATGTTCACGAGTTTTCAGGCGAAAATACGCACAGTTTTAAAAGGTGCCAGGTGATTCTCTTTGAGGTGGATGAAATTTCTTTGTCGATACTAATTCAATTACTCCTCTTCTGCCTATGCTTTATCATGAAAGTCACTAAGAGCTGCCACTTGATGTTTCTAGAGTTCAGCTTCATCTGAATGAACTCGACCTTTGTTCCTTGAAACTGTTTGGTTACTTTTCGAATCCGGTCGGAAAAGCTCACTCGAATCATGATCATATGTCGTTAATGCAAGGTGAAAGCAAAAATCTTAGAGC